CTGCTCTTGTTCTGTTATTTCTGATTCCCAGGTAAAGGTATTTAGAATAGGTTAGGCCTTTAGAGGAGCAACAAGAGATCAGAGCTCAAGACTGCTCTCCCCAGTGTCCAAAGGGCAGTGAAACTTTTGTGCCTGTTTAGTCATTAGCAGCTGTGGTCCACTTGTACCTGCTACCATCACATTTCCTGGAAAGACTTGCTAAGCAGCAGTTGTCAAGTTTAAGAAACTTGTGAAATTCACCCAGTGTCTTACTGACTCACACTGCCAGAGCATGCCAGCTGAGTGGCTGATTTGTATAAGGATGTTGGGAAAGTCACCTGTAAAGTTAAACTACTTGTAAAGTGTTAACTCTGGTCCCAGGTCATCGTGTCTTCCTAGTTATTAGTTTCATTTCATATCTAAGAAGTACATATATTTTTGTGGTAAAAAGATGATATATCATAAAGTATGCCTTACTGTTTTAAAAAGTATATATTCTACCTATATATGTATATGTACACCCATATCTCTGAACTGTTGTTACTTGATTAAAACCCAGTAAACTTATATTTACATTAAAATAAAATTTTACTGCAATATATTTCACCTTCATTACTTAAAAGAGATACTGATTTATTTTTAAAACAAGACAATTATGAATAAGTACAAATATATTTCCATTTAAATTTTGACACAGCTGATGGTTTGGTACTGTTGGTTATAGATGTTATATCCTGCCACTGAAATGACAAAGAATACATTTCATTCCACTGAACATGGAATAAATGCCTCATTTTGAATTTTCTAAAGTTTTTCGTGTAACAAAAAAAAACTCATTCCTTATAACACTAAAATAATACAATACTTTACACACTTTTTAATAACAGAATTTTTCTAATTACATAGATGATCACTACAGGAAATTTATAAGATATAGGAAAGCATACAGATAAGTCATGTGTAGATATTTCACTTAAAAATTGCCATTTTTAACCCCTGGGTACATTTTCTTTTACTTTGTATTCATTATATACACATACTTATATAAATCATGATGTTGGAGTCACAATGTGTGTAGTACTTTGTATAAGATTTTGTACTTAATGTCCTAATATAGTAGATTGCTACACCATTAAATATTTTTCTAAAACATTTAAATAAGTGCATAACATTACAAAATACTGACACATCCTGATATAACTAGTTCCCAAATTGGATCCTTTAGTTTTTTTCCTGACTTTTTAGTATCATAAATTGCATTATGATGAACATTCAAGTACATGAATCGATAAATTACTCATGATACACTCCTAGAAGCGGTACAACTGGGTATACAGATATAAACATTTTTAATATTCTTAATACATATTGCCAAATATTTTCCAGGAAACTTGAAGCAATTACAATACCAGCAACATGCATGAACGTATTTCACCTAGACTCAGCAGCATGGAATACTGACTAGATTTTAGCGGAAAAGGAAATTTTACTGTAAAGACCCAGGAGCCACAGGCAGGGAGGGGACAGCCCTGAAGAAAGCACTGTGGCATTTCTGCTGCCCGTGGGCTGTGCCTCATTCTGCTCCCTGGAAGCCTTTGCTGCTCCTGGAGTCCACAGAGACTGGGCTCAATAAACAGTGGCCAAAGGCTGGGACGGTGTATAAAGCCGCTGATGGGGGTGTGGGTGACCAGGCCATTCAGAGAGGCCTTAGTGGGCCGGCAGAATCGCCCCAAAGCAGCCTATCCCATTCCCATTCCCAAGGATAGAGTTGTTTTGTGAATGAATGTGGTTACACATGCCTCACAGCACTTTCCTTTTATATATTTTTTAATTTCACTAACGTAATGTCAGCCACTAGCTCCAAAGGTCCTTACAATTTTCCCAAAGGGTTGCCTCTAAAATATAAATTCTAGCTCATCCCAAGTTCTAGTGCAAACTTATCCTATTTGAAATCCCTCCAAGTCAGCTTTATGACAGTCCTTTTATTGTTCATGTGTCTTCTTAATCCAAGTGATTACAACTACTATAAGCCTACTGAACCATTTGATAAGTGAGAGTTGATAGGATTTCTGGTAAAGCATTGTATTTAGATGCACACTGTCTCATGTATTTATTAACTGCCGTGAGTGACATGTTTCAAGCCTTGTTTTCATTTTTACTTTATTAAATTGCATTGTGATTTTCACCATCCCATAGATATTCATAACTTCAATGATTAATCTTGCATTTTCAAAATTAATATTGAAGTTAAGACTCTATGTACCAAAGTTAAAGGATGGGACGTTATGATTTCTTCTTCATGAAAACACTTAGAGGTTAGGTGGACTCCTTATTTTCTTGGAATATTTTTAAATTTATGCAGAAATGAATATTTGCCATAAAGATCTAGGTACCCATCAGAACTTAAGGGCAATACATGTATTTCTATTTACATTCCAATTCTTATTTTCCCCATGAAAGACTGGTCTTTTCAGTTGATAATTCATTTATTCATGGATTGTATGCAATTTTCATTATTTCCCTACTCTGTGCTAGGGGACTAGAGTCGTGTAACATAGCTTAGGACACATATGTTAAACATTTCAATCAGCCACTGTGGGCAGGATGAGAGAGAGCTGAATGCGAAGAATCTTGATTGCCAAGCCATGGAAAGGCTCATGGACGTTCGCTACCACAGATTCTCAGTTTTATGACTCTCTATACTGGGGCAATTTTTTCCAATAATATGTGCCAACCTAGGGAATCAGAGGGGAGGAAATAGACTCAGGTCCCCAAAGTGCTGAGTAAAGAAAATGAGTGTCAGGGAATGTTGGATACTGGCACAAAGGGTGACACCCCCGAGGGTGGAGAAGCAGATGAGCTGCAGTGAGACTGTGGAGTGGACAGCAGCCACGGAATGCCTCCATGGCCAAGGTGCAAACCTCATGAGAGAGCTTCATGCAGATTTTTAGGGCCCGGGGCCCACATTGGAGCCACTAGGCCCAGGCCAATCAGAAGAAGAGGGAATCTAAATATTAGAAAGGGAGCCAAGCTATATAAATAGTAGACAGAATGACATGGGGCAAGACTCAACTGTATATTTATATATTTCAGATGCATGTTGGGAGAGAAGAGGTCCTCTGTAGCACCATACGGGAGGCTTTGATGAGACTGAAGAATAAATTTACACCTGAAACTAATACAAAATAGTGGTGGAATATTGGAACTAATAATCAGAGTCAGATTTTCCAAATTTAAAATTTTAATTGAATCAGTCAAAAGATGACATCTGTAGTTACACCCACTCTTGTCTAATATATTTGTGAGTGGACATTCAGGGAACTATCTGTGCCGTGTCACTTATCATGGGAATTTCCTACCTCACCCAAAGACAGGACCACCATTTCCTACATAACCCTATTCCCCAGGCACTATCCTCAGGCTTAAAGTGAACCAATCACAGTTTGGCTCATCTGCTTCTCTACCCTCGGGGTGTCACCCTTTGTGCCAGTATCCAACATTCCCTCACACTCGTTTTCTTTACTCACCACTTTGGGGACCTGAGTCTATTTCCTCCCCTCTGATTCCCCATAACCCTATCCTCAGGCTTAAAGTGAACCAATCACAGTTTTTCCCTAAGGATTTTNCCCCAGGCGCTATCCTCAGGCTTAAAGTGAACCAATCACAGTTTTTCCCTAAGGATTTTTCTAACAGGTACTAGTTAGAGTGAAGTTAACACTAAAGGCAAGAACACCTTAGCAATGTTTGAATCCTTTGTTTTACTGATGTCTGATGCCCAGCTGTATCCCTGCCCACCTCATACTTTAAAACCAGCATCCATGTCTCTAATCAACAGACAGAATATAGTGATCAACAGCTGAGATCTGCATGCATTCCTTCCTGACTGACCAATAAGAATTTCCCTTCTGACGTGGCCAGCACATCACCCATTGGCTATCCAGCAGGAATGATTCCAGTCTAGGTCCCAAAATATCTTGGTCTCTATCTTAATAAGAAGTCATGGGGGCTGTCCCTCTTTCATGTGTCTTATTATGAGAGGGTGAAGAACAGGACACCCAGTAGTGTACATATTTAGAGGAGAAGAGTTATGATGACACAGAAAGACCCTTAGTTGGATGGGACTAAGAGTAGGGACCTCAGTCCCTCTATTGTAAACTGAGATTTCCCCCTGAGGTGGCACACTGGTAAAACACTCTTATGTTGCCCAATAAATTATAATAAATATAATTTGGACCCTTAAATATTAAGTAAAAAGAGCACCCCATGCCACCTAAGAGCGCAAATATATGTCCTGTAGCTGCCTAAACTCTCCCCTCTCTCCATGACCTGGATGTTGTTTAGATCTCATAGAGAGTAAGAACACAGCATCCTAATCTGCTCAAATCCAGTGGGAAAGGCCTTTGTTCAACAAGTCCACCTGTTATCACCATAATTAGCTAGTTATTAATATTAATAATAGGAAAAGAGCAAAGGGGAGGCCAGCCATTGTAAGTATGATCATCTGGGCAGCTTCACCAGGAAGCTGCAGCTTCACATTCCCCAGAGAAACACTGGTCCATTCCTTGCAAGGGATAAGACAAAGGGGGAGATGGGCACGTGGGCAGTGAAATAGGGGTGATGCAGGGAAGGTGCCTGTCAGTCTAGTCTGAGAAAAATATTGTCCAGGAAGGTGGAGCCACTGCAAGTGCACTAAATCTTGGAAGGGTAAAATCCCCAGACAAAGAGTTCCCTCTCTCTCAGCCCTTTGTTCCCCCTTACTCTCTCTTGCTCCATGACCTGTGCTTGCCTGCCATGTGGCCTTAGCAGCCTCATGGCCCATGGTCATGTGGACCCTACATGCAATGGACTGC